TGAGGTTTGGGGCAATCCATGTAGGCAAAACCTGAGACACAGAGAGAGAAAGAGAAATTAGCAAGTTGCAAATGGTCTGCTCCTCCTCGCAGGTAATCAGATCCAGACGGAACATTCATTAATGTTGCATATATGCAATTCAATGAAAGCAAAACACAGCGTAATGTTATGCTTTGATGTGAAATACCACTATACATTTATGGATTCAAAATATTTTTTATAAAGATTGACAATTAATCCAACAATTTAATAACAATATATTATAATATATCATTATTTACAATACATTTATATTAAACATTATATTCATTATAATATACACTGATGAGCCAAAACATTATGACAACCTGCCTAATATGCTGTTGGTCCTCTGCGGTCAAGGACTCTACAAGACCCCTGAAGGAGTCCTGTAGTATTCCCATACGCAGCAGAGTGCCATGCACTGTGTGTTGTGACGCATTCCTTCCATAACCATTATTAAAATTGTGTGACTTGTGCCACAGTAGACCTTCTGTTGGCTCGGAATAGCCGTCGGCGGTTCGAATGGATAGCCACTGTCAGCGGTTTGTCCATTCTCAGACCACTGCTGACCGGAAGCAACCCACAAGCCTTACTGTTTCAGAGATACTCTGACCCAGTCGTCCTGCCATAACAATCTGGCCCTTGTCAAAGTCGCTCAAATCTGTATTCCTGCTCTTTTCTCCTGCATCCAACACATTGATTATGATAACTGTTGCTTGGCTCCCATCTAAATCTACCCAGACCTTAATACGTGGCCTTGTTAGGAGATGCTCAACGATATTCACTTCACATGACTGGTCATAATGTTTTGGCTCATCATTGTATAATTAATATAATATACAATTGAAATATATTTTAATAAAATATTTTTGTTAAGTCAAATTTGAAAGGACCTTTGTGTATGCTTGCCCTAATTTCAGTCTTGAGTTTTCATGCATCCATTATTTGTGTAAATAATAAATTATTATTTAAATAGTACGTACATTTAAATAATAGAAATAAATAAGAATCTGTCTGGTGAAGTGATTATTATTATTATCATTTACATATGAGGGACAGAATGCCCTTGTGCATTCTGGGTAACATCCAAAATGACAATCATGACACGAGCGTTCTCACCTTTACCACTGAGTTCCAGAAAGGGTGCATGACGTAGATAGAGAGGGGGTTGGAGTCCACTGCACTGTACTGTAAAGAAGAGAAAGACGACAAGATGTGCAGAGTGAGAAACCACATTAACACTCAGGTCAAGAAGCGTGAATGTTGAAAAGTGCTAACAACAGAGTGCTTCTGCTAATATGGCACACTGTTTCTGCTGACTTCAGATGAGAAGATTATTAAAAATGGTAACTACATTATATCCCTGAATCTCTAATCAGCTTCTGCTCAAGTGACTGGCACGACTGGAAAATAAACTCTAACCTCGAGACAATTTAGAATGGCTTGAATGTAATAATACCTATCATATATGAAACTCTTCACTAAAGCACATTATAATGTGTGGTATGATTCAGGGGTGAAGGCAGATCACTTTTCAACTGCTCCCCCCGCATGTGTTCCCTGCGTGAGGTCATACTTGGAGCTTAGGGGAAGGGTGGCCATTGAAGTCTCGAAAACATCTGGATCTGGGAAGGTCTGTACCAAAACCAAAAAATATATACTAAAATGCATATTATTATTATCAGTTCAGTTTGCTTGTGTAAAAAACACAGTTCAGTAAAGACCAATTTAATATCAGAAAATGAATGTACACAATTGAACACAATATTTACTCAAAACACAAAATTGAAAGCAAAAATTGATAACTATCCATTTACAAATATGTTTCTAGTGTCAGCCATGCACTCTTGCATTTTCTAAAAATCGCATATTATTTTGACAGATACATTTAGCTGTACAGAGTCGATACAGCGGTTAAGGGGTTAAAAATAAAATTGCGCAAGAGGGAGGAGTAGTCATGTATGTTCAAGTGTGTGCAAACATGCAGAGCAAGAATACCACATACCAACTCAGCAGCCCGTACACCTAACAGCACAAAGTAAATACATGCAACTTATCAGCCCAAGAGAACATTACACCAGGAGACACAGAGGGTCAAAGCTACTTTCATTCACAAATAACCAATCAGAAAAGCAGAGAACTCTGCATCACAGCCAGGGATTTAACCCCCGACCCCTCTAGTAGTTCCACACCCTTTTAACCAAACTATCCTGTTCAGAGAAGCCTAAACCCATCATGAATGTTTAGCAACCAACACTGCTCATCTTTTAGTGTCCAATAACTGATGTGCAAAACTGATATGCGAAACTGATTCATAATTGTTTATTGCAGGTATTAAACACAATAATAAATAATCACCACACAATAAAAACATAATATTATGCACTATGAGAATAGTTAGTAGTTGTTTGAGATATGAGCAGTTATATATTTTTGAGATCATTGTTTTGGCCCCAGTTTATCTTCAAATCCATCCTGCTTCAAACAAAACATTAAATAAGCAAACAAGTCATATTTTCTGTTTATTCTTGTTGAACACAGCTGTATATAATGGTATTGTTTGGGGCTATTAATTAGAGATCCATTAAATGCTGGTCACTTATAGAACATACACTACCGTTCAAAAGTATTATTTGATCAAAAATACAGTAACAACAGTGATCTAGACAGTGAAATATATTACCATTTAAAATAACTATTTTATATTCTAAAATGCAGTTTATTCCTCTCATGGCAAAGCTGAATGTTCAGCATCATTCCTCCAGTCTTTCAGTGTCACATGATCCTTCAGAAATCATTCTAAAATGCTGATTTGCTGCTCAAGAAACATTTGTGAGTACTGGTAAAAAAAGAAAAGAAAGAAGATAAAACCAATGATTGGTCTACCACAACCCCAGAGTCAAGACACAGACTAAGCAAGCTAATGCACTGGAGAATTTACTATGATAATGTTAAACTATAATGATCATGATGAACAAGTTACAGGTCGTGATATGCAACCAATGGATAAACAAAGAGCTTTAAGCCAGTCGGTCCTGCCAGTGCTTCTACTGTAAATATCAAAGCACTGACACTACATTGCCATCTACAGACTAGTAATACGTGAATATTAAATTAACAAACGAACATTTAAAGTGAAAGCACGGAGAGTGTGTGACTAACATGCAAATTATGTCCTAACCATAGATCCATGTTGGAGGCGGAAACAGTAGCCCATCCCTTTACAATTTAACACGGTTTACAAACTAACCAACATAACATAGTACGTAGGTCAACTAAAAAAAAAACTGGACACTGTGTCCCAGCTGGTAAAAGTACACAGTCGCCTAATGTTTAGAAATGAAGATCTACTTTCACTAGCGGTTTCATGTCACTGTACGTTAACTTACCACACCACTGAATTAACCGGTTAATTCCACCCTGATATATATATTTTGAAATTTTACATTTTAAGTATACACACTAATAACTAAATCATGTATCAATTCTTCCAACAAATTCGAGGGGAAATATACTGTTTCTCTTTAAAGGTGACAATAAGCAGCAGTTGTCCTTTCTAGAGAGCAGCACACACCGGCAGACCTCATGCTTTCATGATAGCATTAACAGCCCGGCACAGCTAGCCGACACCCTAAAGTCCTACACACTGTGCAGAAAAGAATAGATAAGAATGGCCTCACCTTATATTGATCAAAACCTGATAGTTGCTCTTGGGTGACATAGTCGTAGAGAGCCATGATGACCGCTGCACGGCTCAGAGACTGACCGAAATTCACCACCCGTGTCGGGGCTCACAGTATCCGCAGTGCTGCGCGTGAGCGGTGGCTGTGCTGTCTGTGGCGTGACGCCTGAAACTCCGCCCACAATCCAATGTGTTTTTCAAAATAAAAGCCGATGTGGAACTTCCAGTTAACAGTGACACAAGTTATTCAGTTAAAAATATATTCTAATTCTAAATATAAAAATATAAATTAATATAAACGCATTAAACTAATATAAACTAATATAAACTAAATGTAAATATTATTTGGAAAATATTTAGTTTCTATTCAGTTACATTATTACGTTTTTATTTATTTATAATACTTATACATCATATTACTGTACTGGTTATTTATTATGTATTACTTTATAATTTTATAATTATAATTTATTATTATTAATTTTTTAACTTTTTTTGTTTTCCCAGTTTTCTCTAATCTTTTTCACAGGACTAACACGCCCTTGCAGTCCTGCTGAGGGGACTTTTAAATCCCTGTTCTAGTCTACATGAAACATTTACAAATATAGCCCTATACAGACTAAATATGCACCGTAATACAAAAACGATTATTTTACACTACGTGAGTTTAGTCAGGGGTTAGTCACACTTTTTTATTTCTGTGAGTAGGTTCACTTTTTAAATTTAAATTGCTCTATAAGCATATACCTTAAATGTATGGATACAAAACAGCTATTTAATAAATTGTTTTACTGTAAGCGGAATATTTAAATTATGTATGAACACATGGCTCACTTATGTTTGCCTTTTGTTCGATATTCACTATTGTGTAAGGCCCCTGTTCACCCACTAGGGGTCAATACAAATCTACGAATCTAATAAAAATGGCCACCTTAGAAAGTTTACATCTGTCATGACCATTTTTTTTAGTCTATGGTCATCATGACTCATGCACACGACACAACTCATAGGCTACAATATATTTGTATATTACTGATAAAACTAATAAACTTCTCGTGCATTTATTCTTCATTTTGGTATATACATCCGACAATTATTCAAAGATATCGTTAAAGGAATAGTAGGCTAACTGGTGATAAGATAAGATAAGCGAAACTTATATCCATCCTTTATGCTCTTGTGCTAAACTGTGATTGCATTTCAGTCTCATGAAAATGTGAATAAGCAATGATAGCTTCCTAAAATGAAAACTGACTATTTTTTTCTGGCAAATCGGGATGTTTTTTTAATCACACAGTAATAAAAGTAATAAAAATCACAGGACTCAAAATTACTGATCACATTTTTCTTACAAAAGTATTTTTCTTTGTTTTTGTGGTCACAGGCAGCTGTAGAGTAAAGCCTGAAAATCATTATTAGGGTGCTGCATCCTCAAAACAAGTAATAGGGACCAATATAATGACATTGATCTGCATTTATTAACATGCCATAAAAAGTATCACATTTCAAATAGTTACATTTCTCTGATTAAGGTGCTTGGCCCCGCAATTGTTGTTTGCACAGATCATGTTTAAGACAGCTATATGAGTAACAAGCCACATTTATTAGGCATCTAATAACAATTAAACAATAATTGTCCTACAAACATTCTATTATGCATAAGATAAGATGTTATAAAAATATTAGTAAATCATGTCACAGATTTTTTTTTTTTTTTTTTTTTAGATATGTTGCTTAATTATATTTATTTAAAATGTAACAAAGTCAAGTCCATCAAGGGTCAAGAAAGTAAAAACTGGAGGGGATCTTGCTGGTATTGTGAGCTCTTAACAGCACTATTAATTCTGTACAAGCCTTATTTGTTCCTCTAGCAAATTTAATCAGATTTTAAATAACAATGCTAGAGACACTTCACTAACCCCAAAAGGTATCTGCTGACTTCTTTCACGTTTTTTTAGAGGGAAATTCTGTGGAATGGATTTTAACATGGTAAAACAGAGCTGAAGGCATAATCAAATTAATCCAAATATTAAATAAATACACGCAAAAGGGGCGGAGAATACGTCAAAATGTGTGAATGATGGAGAGTCCATGCAGGCCTGCCGATCCCTGAAGAATCCTGTCAGCTGCATCATGGTGTCAGCGCACATGATGACTCTGCTTCCCATTAGGCTTGAGGGTCACCTTTACCACGAGTTGTGGGGTATTCATGTGGACGGGGCTTGTTCTGACTGTGAGCCTGCCGGAGGTTTTTTTGGGAGGGTCGAGCAAAGCAGGATGTCAAAGAGCGTGAGCTGCAGTCACAGGCTCCATCCTGGCAAAGAGAGGGGAAAAAGTAAGGAGATTTTCTCAGCTCAGCATTATGACAAATCAAGTGACAAACAAAAAACAAAAGTTCTGGAAAATGCCTAATTTCACCTTATTTTCATCAATTTACAATTAGGCCTACTGATCCAATAGTCTTAATAGAGTGACTTTTTCTAGTTGTATTTAGTACAAAAATGAATTCACCATGGTTACACTGTCTTTGTGCCATGTACTGTAAATTTCATTATGTTTTGAAAGAATGTTTCTTTAACCCTCTGGGCTTCTTCGGTCAAAAATGACCGAAACAGTATACGTTTTGAAATGTTTAATTTTTTTGCTTCATCGGAGGGGGATGAAACTTGGTGACTTTTGTTGTATTACCTATGTGAACACACAAAAAAATCAAGGAGATGATTCGGATATGTTAAAGGGTCTTAAAAAAAATAGTCACACTTAGCTTCCTTTCGGTCAAAAATGACCGACATAGGAAATGAATGGGAAATACGAAAAAATAGGAAAACTCAGAGAAACCTTTAGTGGTACAAACTACAGATCAGCCACTGTGCAGAAAAAAAGTGTACAGCAATGAAGGGGTGACACTCTAAAACATCAAGAGTGCAAATAAGACACCCCCCCCCCCCACACACACACACACACACCCACGCACACAAACACACACACACACACACACACACACACACACAGAGAAATGAATAGGAAAGACTGCAACAGCAAATGTTGAGAAAATGCTAAACAAAATCAAAAATTAAAATAAAGTACAAAAGATAGGCTACTCTTTCTCGCTCAAATACACACACACACACCTCATCATGTCTAAAACAACAATATGAATCAAAAAGCCTTTCTATGTATTTATATAGGAAGCCTACAGGCGGTTACGGACATTACACACATTTATACATTTTTACTTATCTAAAAAAAAAAAAAAAAAGTAGTCTTTTAGCATATCTAAATATATATCTAAATAAAAAAAACGAATAAGAGAGAGAAATCATGTCTAAAACAGCAATAGGAATCAAAAAGCATTTCTATGTATTTACATAGGAAGCTATGGGCAGCCTACAGGCGGTTACGGACATTACACACTTTAAAACATTTTTAAAGCCACTGGATGGCGGTATTCTCACTTAAAAAAAATTTTGCCTGCTGCCAGCATTATATTTTATTGTGCCACGTTGAGTTTTTTGAAATTTTTTTTTTTTATAATAATAATAAAAAATAAAATAAAAATTCTAATGGAAAAAATAGCTCGTAAAAATTATATAAATAATGCAAAGTATCATAAAAATCTTTAAAAATTCTAAATAATAATAAGAAAATATTATTGAACAAAAATATATTTGAATGGTTTTCCTGGGGGGAAAAAAAGTTACATTTTAAGGCTTCGGTCTTTTTTGACCGAAGTGTAACCCCTAAACAAAGAAGCCCAGAGGGTTAAAATATTCCTTAAAAAATACAAATATTTTTTTTTTTAAAGGAAAAAAAATGTAGTGAATGTATTACACGTTGTCATGAACAGCCAGACATTAAACAGAATGATGCAAGTCTCACAAATCTATACATAATTGTACTTTGAATTAGATAAAACCAAAAATAAATAAACCAAAAATAAAGTTCACTGAGGGAGTCAGTTGTAAACGGCTCTGAATGATTCACCGATTAAGCGAGTCTGAATCACTAAGGCCAAGACTCACTAAAAAGAGCCAGTTAATAATAATCATTTTGTTCATGACAAAACTGCACATGGACACACTCAATGTTTCACAATGAGTCATTTTAAATGAGTGTTGCGCAATTATATTTTACATTTGCGAACATTTTAGTCTCAGTCTAAAACCCTGATATATCCAAACTTTCAATTTAGGTTTTTTTGGTCATGTTTTTGAACAAGTTAAACTTTGCTGCTAACCTCCAAGCCCTTGTTCTTGCTGATTGAACCCCTGTCGATTTGGCGTTGGGTTTGGGTCTGACTATGACAGACTGCCTCCTCTTTTTGGCTGTTTTTCATAAATCTGCGGTTCACGATCTTAGTGATGCTGTCATTTCTGACCAGTGGCACCGCTGGTATACGAGACGGGGGATGCTCCGATTTCTTTGAACCCACCAGTCCGACATGATCCCTACGAGCCGCTGGAGCTTTCTCCATCGCCGGGTTGGTCTTCTCTCCTCGGCCACACACGTTGCGCAGAAACTCCTGGACCAGACCGTACTTGTGGACTCCTACAGTTTTACGACCGCCAGGTTTATTGCTGGCCTGCGCTGATACTGAGCTTGGCCTGCTAGGTGTCGATCCACGTTGCGACAGAGCCCACAAACCGCGTTCCTTAGCTGCATAATCCATCCTGGAGGAGGCGCTCAGAGATGAGGAAGAGGACAAAGAGGATGTAGTGAAGGATGAAGAGGATGATGGTGAAGTGGAAGACTTAGAGGATGTAGAGTGTCTGCGCTGTATTTTCGGCGAGGTGGAATGTGGTGGAAAGCGCTCTGCAGGTCCAGGTACCCTTTCCAATGATGCTGACGTCTGATGGGCTCTAGCGGATACAAATGAGGTCACCCGGGGTGACCAGTGCTTTGCGGTATAAAGACTTCGAGGGCCATCGGTCTGTAGCCCGACTGTGGTCACCTGTGGTTGGGATTGTGTTTGAGTTCCCGTACTCACAACACTCGCTACATTGCTCCCAAAATCCTTCCCTCTTTTCCTCTCTAGAGGGCTGGATTGGGTGGTTTGAAGCACACTGGCTGTAATTTCCTTCATGTCATCACTCAAGTTGGCTGAGACGTCCATGCTATTGAAAGCCAAGCGTGAAGGGGAAGCAATACTGGAGGTCTGAAGACCTGAACAGGATGTAGAACTGATGACAGCTCTCTCCGTCAAATTTTGGCAGTCAATTGGCACGCTGCCCAGCCAGTTTTCATATGCAGAGACCCAGTCTCGGTTTACAAGGCCACAGGAAAAAGCATTGAAATGTGGTTCCTGGCTCTCCTCACACTCTTCCTCCTCTCCTGCTACCAGAGAGCTCATTTGGATCCTTTTTGCTGATGGTGGGCTGAAATATATACGAATGCTGGTCCTCTCTGGAGCAGTGTGGCTTCTCTGGGTCAGCTCCTGGTTTAGGTTCAAACCAGGGAAACTGGAAGGCATGATAGGGCAGTCCCAAGTCTTACAGCCGTCTTCTCTGTCCAGAAAGGCAGCTTCATGACTGAGGTACTTCCAGTTCTTGTTGGGTTTTAAAATGCCAGTTTTGAGAGTCATCCTGGTGGGAAAGAAAACTCTTAATTAATTAATAAATCTCAAAAAAGTTAGAACTTTATATAGATAGATATCTTGAGAAGAAATTACTCTGTGAAAATAAAAGAATCTGACCTTTCCATTTTTCCATCTTTTGTCATCTTATTTCTGGGGGACTGAAAGTGGGTTAGAAAGATGATTATTTTGCACTCATGATTAGTGTATTTTTATATTAAATATGTAAAAATATATACTTAGAAAAAACACACACACACACACACACACACACACACACACACACACACACACACACACACACACACACACACACACACACTATGTATAGTATAGAAAATATTATATATATATACAGTATATATACACTCAAATATACATATATATAGTAATATTTCATATCTTAAGTTCTATTTATACTATACTAAAATATTATTAAAACAACCTGTACAACTTGGAACTTTCAACAGAAAAATATCTCGGAGTGAATCATTTTGAGACAGGGAATCCTTCTACTATTACTTAGGGATGAGCATTTTAAGATGCACAGTAATCACTGTCTTATTTAGGGAAAGTGTGTCAGAGTGACAGTTAGGGATTACAGAAAAGAAAACAGAGAGAAAACGCTTTGATCAAGAAAAACATTGGAAAAATGTCTCTGCATTCCAATCCAGGCTTTACTTAACACCATCAAAGAACTGTCACTGTCTACATTCCAATTTTATTCTTAGTATCTATGATAATGAACAGACAATTTGTCAAAGGGAAGAATGAAACTGCTGTCAAACTGGAGGACAACAATATAAAAATCACGTTGTTTAAAAATAGAAGGTACCATCTAAAACCATTTAAAGATCCATTATGCATTTGATCCTCTAAAAATGCCTCCTCATTCCTCTCTCTCCTCCTTTCCCTCGACCCTGCACAATGTTACTCCCCGTTAACTGTAAAGTAAAGCAAACTCCTTATTTAAACTTCAGCTGAGCCTTGATAAGTGTCTCTGTGGTCACTGTGGTTTGGCTAAGCCTTTTTCAGAGAGAGAAGTTGTGATTGAAGCTGATGTCTGTGCTCCGCCTGCTGTCCTACAGTCCCAAAAGGGGATTAGCCTAAATTCTGTTGCCATGCGGCCCTGTAACACACACAGGCTCACGGGACTGTTTCAGATCTCTGACCTCTGATGCTTTAGGACTGTGAATCAAAGCCATTTGCCGAGTATTATGCATTAGTATAATGCATATGTTTTAAGCTTAATTAGACTCAATAGTTATAGTATTAGAAAATTGCATTAGTACATGGGGGATTTCAATTATTTTAATAATGATAGTTCAGACTTCGGGTTGCAGTAAGCACTACTGTTCGAACATTCGGAGTTGGTAAGACGTTTTTGAAAGAGGGATCTTATGCTCACCATGGCTCCATTTATTTGATAAAAAATACAGTAAAAACAGTAATACTGTGTAATATTACAGTTCAAAATAGCTGTATTCTAATATGCTGTTTTATTTGTAGTAAAACCATGGTTCATTTTTTGGAAGGGTTGGTGCTCAAAACATTTCTTATTATTATCAATGTTGAAAATGGTTGACCATTTTTGTGGAAACTGCGATTATTTAATCAATAAATAGTTCAAAAAAACTATTTTATTTTAAATAATAGGCCTACTTTTCATCAGTTTGATGCATGCTTGCTGAAATACAAAATCTCACTGACCCCAAACATTTAAACGGTAGTGCAGGTCATGAAAAAAATGCCACATAAGACATAAATGATTAAATAATAACAATAAGTTTCAATTTATTAACACTAGTTATTGCATTAGATATCATTAACTAATGAAAAAGTTTACAGCATTTATTAAAGTTCATTTCTACAAAAACGTATATATTTGTAGCATTTGAAAATAGGTAAATTAACATTGGTTTATTAGAATTATAAACAAACATGAATTAACAATAAACAAATGTATTAATAGATTAATATAAACCTAAATTAATAAATGCTTAAAAAAATGTGTGGTTCATTATACCTAATGCACTTACTAATGTCTCCAAATTGAACTATAATTATTATAAATTAATTATAGTTCTATGAAGTTCTATGAAGAACTATACTGATTAGAAAGCCAATTACCAATTAAATAATCCAAAAAAAAGAAAAATCTTTTTTCTGACCTGCATTTTTCTATTTTGCTTTGCTGTCTTCGACCTTTCGCACTCTAGACGCACATGGTTCAGGTGTTCCAGCAGTTCCTGCCGTTCAGAGCTCCAGTTGCTCTCACAGACCTTCAGCTGTCTTGTCAGGTCCATGACTGCAGTGTAGGACTCAGCTAACAGGTGCTGAAGCTTCTCAACGTGGTCCTTCTGCAAAGCCGCATTCACATCTGATGGACCCTTTATTCCTGCCTTCCCAGCTGGACCCTCCAGCTATAAACAAACACAAACAACTATAAAACAATGATGATGACTTTTCCGTGTCATAAAGCTTTTTTAATTTCCTGAAGTCCCTAGAGACCGAGAATGAAGAAAGATGTGATGACATGAGAACCAGGCAACAGGTTCATTGATGCTCTCTGAAGGGAATTTACACTGATCTTCTGGTTCTCACCTTGCTTATGAGGCTCTTGAGCTCTGTACACTCAACGGCCCACGCAGCTTTGGCGTTTGCAAACTGTCGGACGACAAACTGGGCTGCCCTGTGCTGCTCCCAGAGTTCACAGAACAGATCCTGCAGGGCTGTCCTCAGGTCAGACAGCAGGGCACTGCTCACCTGAGAGAGGAACACACAAGGCTGAACGTACACTGGGCAGTGGGAATTTCTGTCATGTGTTTGGCATGGTAATGGGTATGACAATGTTGATATATTTGGTCTTTGCGGAATAGATCTTCTATGCTGCTGCTGTTGGTTATTGCTGCTGCTGCAGAGTAAGTACGAGACTTGCTACTGCCAATACATACACGACATGGTGTTTTGAGCAAGTAAGACATCCTACTGCTGAACAATAGCATAGGGCTCTCAAGTGTCACGCATTGAGAGTGACAGTCACTCATTTCGGTCTTTTGTCACGCACTCCCGCCACACATTGTATTTCTCACGCGGAAAAAATATTTATAATATATTTAAAGGTGCTCTATGTAACTTTTCTACTAAAATGAATCCTTTTTTTATTGCCTGTGTGTGAAGGGGTTGTAATCACACATTAAAATGATCCACTTGTCGAGTTTTGCTTTTACCTCTGAAGGCCAGTATTCCTATTTCTATGTGAAGTCTCCGGGTCGGATTTACCGCGAAATCCAACGGATGTGACGTGCATGCGCGCTCCCGAGCCTCTCTCCTTATACAGTCTATTGTAGAGGGTCAGGGGGCCCTATCTTGCACTCGGCGCAAATGACTTTGTACACTGACGCATGTATCATTCCTATTTTGCACCCGCGCAAAGCGGGTTTTTCCCTCCACAGACGCACGTCAGTTAACTAAGAAATACACTTGCGCTCCCCGGGGCGGTTCAGCGCAAAGAGGAGGCGTGTTCCGGCGCAAACTTTCCCTCATGCTATTTTGCTGTTCTATAAAACAATTGCGCCACTGACCAGAAAAAAACTAGTCTAAAGTCAGTGGCGCGTTGCGCGTTGTTCATTATGCTATTTTAAGGGCACATGCTTGGCCATAATCAATGTAGCGTGTGCACAACGCGCATACACCTTGATTCTCTCATCTAAGCAGCAGTTTTCATTTTTGCAAATCATACATTATTACGATAGATAGATAGATAGATAGATAGATAGATAGATAGATAGATAGATAGATAGATAGATAGATAGATAGATAGATAGATAGATAGATAGATAGATAGATAGATAGATAGATAGATAGATAGATAGATAGAAAGACAATTTATTATAAAAGCATGTAGCTTACACATTTACCCAAATTATCATACGCCTGTTTAACAGAAGTTAATTTGGGTGGGTTTCTCCATCCCCAATGTCACTTCTCTGACGAGAACGCTGCTCTCCTCGGCTGTGAACCGCTCCTGGCGCGCGCCTGGCAAATCCGCCGTTATAATAGGAATCCGCTTTAGAACAAGCGCACCTGCTCTTAAAGGGAATGTGAGATGACGCTCTGATTGGTTTATTTCACGTTACGCCCAAACCACACCTATGAATAATGAAGCTACTTCAGGCCAACCCCTTTTAGATTTGCGCCAGGCGCAAGAGGCATTTATCCCGCCGGGAAAATAGCAACAGCGCCGGGATCCGCCCACAAAGTTACTTGCGCTTTACGCTTTGACACTTGCGTTTCAGATCGTTAAAATAGGGCCCAGGGAGTTACGTCCGGTTAAAGGCGCACGTTTTTCGGCTTATATCTCAGTCAATCTTTGATCAATATTCCCAAGACTCTAATCGTTCGTAGTGCTGGACGGGGCCTTTCGAACGAGCCCACCCCCGAGGTCCAACTCGCCCGGCTCCCCGAGTTATAGCCGTTCGAAATCGGGGGTCCCAGCGAACGGCGATCCGGTAGGGGGCATCCCCGAGGCCCGCCACTCTAGCGTTCGGGCAAGGGTTCCCCTGGGACCTCCTCCCCCGAATTTGAGCTCTCTGGGTCTTTGCGTTCCAGAGATACGAGCGATTTTCTTCTGAGATCGTGACGTCACCGGCGTCCGCAATTTTGCTAATATCTCCGCGAAAATACCACCAAAAACTATGGAACTTATATGGTTCTTTTCAGCTCGACTAGATGGTCCCAACGAGCTCGGTGCTCGCCGAATCCGTCAAGTATTCGCCGAGATATTTGCGTAATAGACGGTATTGTCTATGAGTTCTAGCACGAGCGCTCTTGTAAAATTTGGTTGCAATCTGAAACATCACCACTAGAGGCCGCTAAAAGTTACGTAGAGCACCTTTAATATGCCGCAGCGCCCCAAATTGATCTGGCTGCGTCGCTCTCACTATGGACCCGGCAGGAATCAAGCACGTTTCCCCTGGAGTTCTTAGTCGAGCCTGCCCAATCAAAAAAAGAAAGGGGCTTCACAATAGCCAATCAGAAAAGAGCACTATTGTATCTGGGTAAGATTTAACGCAACAACCAATGACAAAAAAGCATATCCTGGATTTGTTCATGTGATTCTGCTACAACATCTTCCGAAAGTTTCGTTTACCCACAGAGGAAACCACTGGAGCTTCGAGCATCACTTTGAGCACAGAGTAAGTCATGATCTCCTGTTTTAATGTTACAAATTCACAACTTGTTTGACACAAACAATGACAACTTGACTGCTGTTAGAGAATGATTCCCAGATAATTAGCATCAGTTTTTCATGAGTGTCTGTAACTTAGCCAACAGTTTTACAGCCTGTTCACTGCACACTTGCTCAGAACAAGTAGTCTAGGCCTGGTCATATTTTCCTTATCACACGATGACTGAGATATTATCACATTATAAACATCTCTCTCTCTAAATAGGCTTAATAATTTTATTAGCACTAAATCAATTAAAGTGTATTGCATAGTTGATGTTATAGTTGACTTTTAAAATCATGTCGTATTTTATAATTATATCCTGGCCATGGATGCATTAATCATTGCATCTGTCTTTCAAAGATGTCAGGTAAAAAGCAATTAAGCATCCTCTCATTCGCCCTGAGAGGAAAGCCCCCTAAAAAGGCAGTAGCACCTCAATGCAGTACATGAGATCCACGGGGAGGAGTCGGATCAAGATCCAAGGGGTGGAGATGGGTAGGATTAGGGGTGGGTTTAGGGATCAGGGGGCGGAGATGGGTAGGTTTCGGTATATGTAAGGTGGGAGGAGTTGGATCTGGATCCGACTCCTCCCCGTGGATTTCATGTACTGCAGTGAGGACCGCCAGGTTAGAGGATGCTGGCCCAGAGAGGGTGGCGAAAAGGGTAGGTCCATTAGATAAAGGAGTCCAAAAAGGCAACAAACACTTACAATAAACAACACCAGTCATAATCTCTCTCTCTCTCTCACACACACACACACATGCGGAAATTGAATAAATACTTTGTATTTGGTTGAATTGTCAGTGACGTGTCAAATTTTTTCTTCTGCAAGTCTGAGCAATTATTAATAACAACATAAACACTAATAATAATATTATTAATGACACCCCCCCCCCCCCCCGACCCTTTGGGGTCAAATGTCACTCTAGCCTGTCTTCAAAACTTGAGAGCCCTATACATGCATTTCCTGTAGCAGATCTATACAGGTGGGGCATTTCTGAAAGCGCCTCTACACTGCTAAGTCAAAAGCTAACCATGGATTTGAAGGTTTAGCATGCAAGCTCCTTGGCTACTGATACAGCAGGAACCAATCAGCTGTGCCCTATAGAGAATGATGCGATTGCAAGCAGGTTGAGTTAAGGGCCTATTAGCCTGCACCATCTAGAGTTTCATGACAGAACTTTGTATTTATCTTCCCCTGTTGCCCATTTTCAACAATGCTATTTGGCTAATCTATGCCCAGAGAGCAGGCATGTTCAACTACAGTTTAATGAAGTTCTTTCAGATTCAATTTAATGCATACACATTTACAGTTAGTGTTGTAACATGACTACCAAACGTTTTTGATTCTATTATATTTACCTCATTCTTTTTCATACCTGAGAGTTGCATTTCTCTTGAAGATTGTACTCGCATGCTCTTGACTCTGTGTCCTTTAGAAGATGAATCTCATTCTGACAATACATCTGAAATTAAAAGATATTTCATATAACTGGGTGTTCTTGAGTGAAATAAACTTTTAATAGTTATTGTGTGAAAAACTATTTATATTATTATTTTACATAAAATATAATTTCACACCGAACAATTTTGCTAATAAAGCTTTTTCTAAATTAAGTGATATATAAGACATACAGTACAATGTGTGAAAAATGTATAGATTATAGAGAAATTATCCAATATTTAAAAATATAGAATATTTTATTGTGCATAATTAACAATTTTCTCAGATGATCTCTCTCTATATATTAGCTCAAATTATATGTACAGTGTCAGTAACTGTGTATAAGGTTACATTAATGGCAAACAACACATTTCCACCAAAAAGCATTACTAAACACAATACAAGATAAGCTGTGAAAGATTTGATGTGAATGTATGTATATACTGTAGCCTATAACATTGTTATTGGGCAAATTAAAGTGTTTTAGTGTGTCACAGGGCCAAAAAGTGCCCAAAGTTGACAAAGCACTAAACTAACTACATTATTCTGTTATTTCAACTGCAAATAAGAATTCTTATAAAGACAATCTCATCCATCTCCATCAATTACGATGCTTGACCACAGCAGAAAATGTAGTTACCCAATTTACCTCAAACAGGTTCTTTCCGTCTCCGGTGGGTCTCTCTCCCTGCCGCCACTGCTGGATGAACCATCGGAGCTGCAGTGTGAGCAGCACTAAGCTGTCCTGGTTACACCCATTTCCACAAATTTCTTCACATGGACGTTCTTGTCTTGCTTGATTCTTTGTGTCCTCTTTCATTGCACTTAAATCTTCACCAAAATGTAATATATTCTTTTCTGTAACAGGCCCAGAGTGCTCTGAAGTAGAGTTTGACAGCACCTCCAACTTTTCTACAAGAGCACGCAGCTGGGCTTGTAACACTTCTAGTCCATTGGTCAAGGGACTTAACATGGGGTCCAAAAGCCATTGATGTGTCTTGCACTGAGGATCCACTGTCGTTTTGCTTAGGTAAGGGCCACCAGGATGGGTCTTATGGGCATATGTAGGTGATACGCCATTTTTAGCTGGGGCTGTCAGGAGCTGGATAGTTGATCTGACAAGCAGCGCTTGGTCATGGATGGCAAGAAGACCTTCTAGATCCTTCACACCAAACGTGCAGTCTGACTTACATTGAGCTCGCCCATCTTCCTCTTTAGTCTCTGCAGAAAGCTCCTGTTCCCCATCGATCGACCCTTCTCTGTGCATGTGGATAGAGTTCTCCATGTGTTCTTCCTCTGCACGCATCTGGATCTCCTGCGTATTATTGTGGATTGTCAACGCATCTGCTTTCTCTACACCATCCAGACATCCACCTTTAAGCACCTCCTCCTGCTCCCTCAATGCTAACCCTTCACCAGCTCCCTTCACCATCTCCTCTTCTTCCAAGCTTCCTCCTCCTCGTTCACGCAGTTCACTCATCTCTGCCCGCAAACCACGGTTCTCTACCTCTAGTTCCACAATTCGACGACTCAGCAGCGTGGCTTCTTCTTCCACCAGCCGCAAGTGAACTTTGACCTCTGCTTCTCGGGTGTGGGCGGAGTTAGTGGTGCCCGCTGCAGCCTGGTTTTCATCTACATCACCGTATAAAAGACGGTATTTGGCAAGCTCCTCCCGCATCGCCTCACTCTCCAGGGCCATCTTTGTTAGCTTCTTGCACATGAGCGCAGACTCTTCTTTGGCAAAGTGGAGCTGGCATTTCAAATCAGCACTGTCATCCTGCAGAGAACACAGGTGTGTTAAAATGGTTGGCATAATTTTAACTTTTACTAATACATTAACACAGCAAGGCTACCTTGGCTATGATCACTATGGCTAACAGGGTTGTGTCACTAATAATTGAATTGAGAATGCATTTTAAAATCTTATTCAATTCCTGAAGTGAATATTTGAAGTGAATTTGAATTGAGATGGCAAACATGATGCAGAATGGAATAGATTAATGGATGGATAGATGGATAGATGGATGGAAGGATAGAGAGAGGGATGGATGGATGGATAAACCAGCCCTAACCTTCACAAATCAATCGTTTACACTAATGTAACTTCCAACTCACCTGTGGAGAGAGTTTCTTTTCACTCTTGCTGGATGTTGATCTCAAACTTCTTCTCTTTAGAGAATTCTGTGAATGACCACATCCATAATAAGTCTAAAAACATTTTAACAGCTTATATAACAGCTTACTATGCATATTATGGACATTGCAATTTGTCCCCTAAGATAATGTCCTCCTATGGGCATAAGTGTTCATTTGAGTTATGTTCATCATGGTTGTTATTTTCCATCATACCACTGTCCAATGCATTCCAATTTCCAATAAAATGTGTGACTGTAAACAAAGTATGCACCTAATAAACACACTTAATCATGTTCGTGTGAGCTGGCAAGAACTCCAACTCCATAACTCCACCAAACATCTATACAGCTCCAAGTATGTCAAGAATGCTGGCTAGAGTCAGTCTATCTGTCTGCTGCTTTGTCTGGGTCACTCAAACCCTTAAAAGTACAAAAAGCAAAGGAGGAGCATGTAGTCTCCATATTATCCTTAAATGTTAAAAATAACCTTATTGATTCAATCCAAACCAAGACTGAACTGTCATAATTTAACCGTAACTCAAGATAAATGTCTTTTAAAAGTACAGATTGTTGCTTTTGAGATTATAAATCAGTAATTTATCTTGTGGATCAAGTTTGCAAAAATATTTTTGACCGGATGGATGAGTAAAGTGTTCGTATGTAGATCATCATGTTTCAGGTAGTGTCAGGCTCACACGAAGCCTTGATAATCTGGTTGTAGCTGATTTGTTCTGCTGGTAAGGATCAGGAATGGGCAGCAGCTGTTTGAGCTGAGCTGCACGGATCCACTTCTAAGCGCTGAATCCTGGATTAAACTGAATGCGTGCCGTTATTAAAGACCTACAGGCCTTCATTGCCAATAAAAAAATTACTTTTTTCTGTGCATTATGTTGGCATAATGGTGGAAAACACTTTTTTTTATCATTATGAGATAGTGAAACTAAAGAACACGCCTTCTTGCTAGTATTTTTAGCATGCATGTCGTAACTGCATATCATAAGACCCACATTGGGTTGGACAACGACGAAGATCTCCCCTTCAGATGTATTTATAAGTGGCTGCTTTCTTACTCTCTCTTCACCCTTGTCTTTCAATTTACCCTTTTTTTTTGCTCTCTTCTTCCCCTCATGCATCCACAAGTGAGAATGACAGCTGTGGTTTGAATTCAGACCCTTAGATCATTCTATGCCCTACCCAAGCAGTCAGCTGTTGGTTACACCCACTACATACAGTTGGGGTAAAGGTCAGATTGTAATCCTAACGGCATCATGAAATAAGAAACAAACCAGAATTGCTGTAAAGTGATAGAAGTCATACTTATAGTGATATAAAGGACATATATAAAGTACGTACAGTATTTTAGCATTCAAAAGTTTCCGGTCAGTCATTTTTTTAAAGAAATAAAAGAAATTAATACTTTTATTCAGCAAGGATGCATTAAATTGTTCAAAAGTGACAGTAAAGACATTTTATAATGTAACAATATATTTCTATTTCAAGTAAATGCTGATCTTTTAAACTTTATATTCATCAAAGAGACCTGAAAAAAACGTATCACGGTTTACACAAAATTATTAAGCAGAGCGAATGTTCCTGACATTAATAATAGTAAGACATTTTTTATAATAGTACATTCCTTGAGCACCAAATCAGCATATTAGAACGATTTCTGAAGGATCATGATGTGACGCTGAGGACTGCTGAAAATTCAGCTATATTCAGCTATATATACTGCTGAAAATTCCTGTATTCCATCACATTTAATTTAAAATATATTAAATATGAAAACTGTTATATTAAATTGTAATAGTATTTCACTATATTACTGTTTTTAAGATCCAATAAATGCAGCCTTGTCAAAATTGATTTTGACTTCTTTCAAAAACTATTAAAAATCTTTTAATAGCAGACCCTAAACTTTTGAACAGTAGTGTGTGTGTGTGTGTGTGTGTGTGTGTGTGTGTGTGTGTGTGTGTGTGTAGTGTATACTGTGTATATATATATATATATATATATATATATATATATATATATATATATATATACTGTATGTATAGTACTATACAGTATATACATATATATATATGCACACCAAAGTTTTTGTGGTGGTAGCACCTGTGATTTGTCCATCTCCGCCTGCAGGACCTGCTTCGCCACCTCCAGATCCTGCAGCCGTTCACGCAACTCCTCGTTTTCCCATTCTAGCTGTGAATTTTTCTTTTGAATGGCCTCAAGTTCGCTGTGCAGGCGAAGGGACACACTTTTTGCCACCTGGGAAAACAGTATTCATATAGAGTTAAGTAAATACACTGCAAACCATGTGTCATTGCTAACTATCCAAAAAGACGTTGATGTTAATACGATAATGATCTCAAGCCCTTTCATTCTCTTGGGGAATATTATTAGACACAAGAAGCTCTATTTAAAGAAAATAAATATCTGATACTTTATAGGGAACATTGCAAAATGAGGATTAAGTTACTATGTTTCAGCTGTGGTTTGTGACATGAGGATGTGAGGAAGTAAATGGATAAGTTAATGGTTTGGGATTCAATATGGGTCGACTCTCCAACGATCTCCCTCCTTTGCTATCCTTTGCAAAGCACTCATCCTGTAGATGCTCAAAGGGTTGCTAACAAATGCTAATAATGCCAAGGGAAAACTGTTAGAGTGCATGTGATTATGCCATGGCATCAGCGCATGACTCTGTGCTTTTCTTTTTTTATAGCACAGGGCGATTATTATCACCATTGAATTCAAGGAGAAACTCCACAATCTCGGATTTCTCTGTGAAAAAAAGTTAGTTAATGATGAGAATGTGGAGTAGAGCAGACACTGAAAAGGATGCTGTGAGATATCAGGTTGCAGGACACTCCAGTGGGGGCTGTTGAAGACTGAATAACTTGACGGAGTGCTGGTGAGGACGCTGAGCAGCGATGGGCACACACACACTGGCCCAGTTTGTGAAAGGAGGGTATCTATTTCTCTTACATGCCTTTAAAATAGACTGGTCATGGACACACACACACACACACACACACACACCAGCTGTGCTTGGACACTTCCCCTCTCAGATACTATGGCTATAGTCCTTGACACATATACCATACACATGCAAATATACACACTCTTTCATTCAACCTTGATTCTTGAGTAATACTTCACATTGTGTTTCTACGAAAACATTTTCACACTTAATTCAGTGCAAACAAAGGGCCTGGAAGAAACCTGAGGAGTAGTCTGGAGGAGGCAGATTTCAAAAGAAAACAGCCATTTCATATGGGTCGCCCTGCTGTGTAGATTGGTTTTTAATTTGTAACGTTCCTACACAAAGCTCTGTCGCTGATTGGCTGAGAAGTTCAAAATAAAAAATGCTTATGCTGTGAGTGGCCCACCACAAATTACAGATTGTCTGCCAAACAGAAAACCGAGGGCTTTTCTACTCATTTTACCAGTTGGACCAACTCCAAAAATAAAACCACTCACTACACATGTCAAACTATAAAACAAAGCGGCATTTTGACTCTCACTAAAACAATTCGGTAACAAACCACAATGGAAAGATTACACAATCCATCTGAGTGCATGCTGATTCATAAAAACAGAGTTTCGACTCATATAGTTACTTACTATTAAACATTTAATTGGCACTAAGCAGTGTTAAGCGATTTTGATAAACATCCTGTCCCGATGAATGCCATGGACTGCATCCAAAACCCTAACAGTGGGTTTCCTGTACACACATACACCACTGTAGCTTAATTGCACCCAAATCATGAGGGAAATATTTATTTAATTACACCCTGAATGTCTCATACAAGTACTATCTCACACAAACACACTCAACATCAGCAAATAATGACTGTAAGCAGCACATCCTCACCCTAATGTCATACTCAAGTGTTCTGATAAGCTCGCCGTCCACCTGTCCCGTCTGGGCTACACGCAGGCTGCGTCTCTCAGCTTTCCTGAGTCGGTACTGCAAGATGCGACAGGCCTTATTGGCCTGTTCCAGCTGCTGTCGGAGTTCCTGCAGCTGGTAAACATCCTCCTCCATGTACATGTCTCTCATCTCCAGCATCTCTGAACGGAGCTCCTCCATTTCGTCCTAAAAAGACAGCCAAAAATGGTGTATGTAAACTTCCTCAGTATTGTGGCAGTATTGCACCTACCATAAATGTTTTGAAATGAAACTTTTTGGAAGTTTCAATTGGAAAACATGAGAAAAATCTATGCATTCTACTTCAGTCTAAACAAAGCATGTTTGTGCATAAAAAGAGTGTTTCTTATATCACTATTAATTTTGGCCTCCAACCAATTCGCCCAAGCCAGCATTGGTCTTACATGTCGAGTGCCAGCATGTTGTGCACATTAACCCAGAGAACTGGGTGCATGTCAAGAATGATGCACTGTCCTTCTCAGTGATGCATTGATGGACTTTCTGTTGACTTCTTGATTTCTACTGAGACACCTTGCACTTAATCAGAGTAAAGCTTGTCTTGTTCTCTCTGTGAACCCGTCCTTCTATGCATGTCAGAGACAATGAGGGATGACACAAGCCAATTAGTGAAAGTGTAATCTTCTAAGAAGAAAGTAAATCTTACAGTATAAGCCATATCACGTGCAGTTTATTTTTGCTTTGTTTATGTGCCTGTTAAAATTTTGTTATGTGTAGCAGACACTTTAACAAACATGATGTGTTCCGAAATAGTTTGCTTTAACAGTTTTAAACCACAGGGGGAACTATGGGTTTTGATTTTGGTATATTCATAATGAAACACAAATGTGTATAGCTAATTTTTTTAAATACAATAAATTCTCCTAAGCACAAATTGCTTCCTTGAAAAGTTTGCAGAATTAGGATTATGTAATTTAAAACATCTCATGAGTTTAAAATGTTTTTTGAACATTGTAACTGGTTTGTAACCTGTCCAAGGCAGACTGCCAGCTCTAAGATCTAGCACATCATGTGACATGGTCTATGCCATAATGGCTCATAAAAGTATGATGCACCTAAAATCCATCAAAACAGGCTGTTACAGCAAAGATACCTAAAACAAAAATAATTAAACACACTTTTGCAACAATACCATGTTTTGTGGCCATCTTGCTTGAACTCACCCTAATTTACACCATGCAAAAATGATGAATTGATTGGTTGATGAATTTATCAACCAATCAATAAATCTCACCTTTAAATATTCATTTTCCGATCTTAGGTCGTCAATCTCTCTCAGCAGATCCTCATGCACCCCATCAGCAAAGTCTCCAGTCAGATCCGGAAATTCCACAGATGCGCTCAAGTTCAAGCGACTGTCCATGGAAACGTAGGACCGGTCTCCAGGAGAGATGCTTCCCTCGCCGAAGCCAAACCCCGGGGACAGGGTGGCATTGATCAGACCATCATCTTCTCTATGTTCTGATATTGGCTCAGCTAAACCGTCCATCATCTCTTCGTGGGTTCCTCTGTGACAGACCTCACCACACTGGACATCAGTGGACTGCTTTTGCTCCTCAGATGCGTCCGAGATCTCAGAGCTGCTGTCCGTGGAAGACAGTTTCCCGGTAGCACAGCCAGAGTCCTTACTCAGGTCATCAGACGTGATGCTTCCATCCGATAGCTTTCTTCTCCCGGAAGATTTACTGCGATTGCTATCGGAGCGTTTTCTCGACTCTGGTTTCATCATCTCCGTTTTCCCAGCATGGATGTTTGGCGTGACAGATAATCCACGCTTTGGTTTCTTGGAGTGAATCTCCTTAGTCTTGTTCTGTGAGGGAGCTGCGTTCGCCTGAGGTTGTTTTGACGTCATGTGTTGCACATGGTGCCGGTGGATTTGTCTTGACTGCTGGTGGCTGACCGCGTCTCCTCCACAGGCTTTATTCTGCCCGTCCCGTCCGTGCTGGGATGAGCGTGCATTAGACTCAGGATTGGCATCAACTTTGGTCTTTGTCATTGTCGGAGTTCAAATATGAGAATCTCCTCTTATTCACCGTTCATTGCTTATGTGAAGAAAGACAATTACTGTGCGTTTATGTTTCCAGACAGTATAATGAGATGAATAAATGCCAGTAGAATCCTCTGAAGAGTTTGTGTGAGATGAGGAAAAGTTAAGGTAAATCCGAGTAAAGCCGTTAGTCTAGTGGTTCAGTGAATATCTTTACTGTGTGTGGCCATATGTGCCTTTACAACTTCAAAATCTCCGCCCCGAAAACGGAGCCTCTCTCTCTCTCTCTCTCTCTCTCTCTCTCTCTCTCTCTCTCTCTCTCTCTCTCTCTCTCTCTCTCACTCTCTCACTCTCTCTCTCTCTCTCTCTCTCTCTCTCTCTCTCTCTCTCTCTCTCTCTCTCTCTCTCTCTCTCTCTCTCTCTCTCTCTCTCTCTCTTCTCTCTCACTCTATCTGAGTCAGAGTTAACTCAGCTTTACTGGCATGATGGCGAACAGCTAGAAGTGCCAAACCATTGCTTTGATAAATAAAATTATAGATTTTTTCCCAGACACCCCTGTAATGCATATCTGTTAAATAGCCTACTTAATTGAGTGCACTTTTATTTTTCTTATTTATTGATTCATTCACATGGTGGCCTATAGGCTATACATACCGATAACTGATATCGGTAACAGTGTCTATATTAGCCTATCATTCACTCATACAATCTAATAAGATGTAGGCCCTAATGCTTGATTGATAGCTAAATCTCTTTTATATAGGGCTATCATGGCCTTCTGCTTGCAAACGGACTCTTTTGAGGAGACAGTGGATTTCCAAATTTGTTGTCCTGATTACACACACACACACACACACACTATATATATATTATAATTTATTTATAGCATATATATATATATATAAATTGGTTTCAAAAGAAAGAAAGTTTATCACAACTCACACACTTCTCAAAGGCACGGAACTTAAAAGTAAAAAAAAACATTGCTCGGCTGACATCTAGTGGCTTCAAATGAAACGGAAGATCCGTCCACAGAAACACACGTCACTGCAGTCTGAGAACAGCAGGGCAGACCCGATTCTCAGATTCAGCCCCGGACAGACCCGATTTTATGGCGCTGACGATCGCGTATATCCCGCCCCAACCACTACCATTCAGCTACTATGGTGTTATATGTGTGCCTCAATCCTGAGCGAGTAATTGTAAGTTTTGAGCACAGAGAACTATATTTTGCAAGCACAGTGCATTATATTTTGAACAGAAATTAACAATCGCAACAACAAAAAAATCGTTTGAGCAAAGAAAAAACGATTCCGTGCTCAATAAATGTATTTGCTATTATCCATATTAACGTGCAATAATAACCCTTCTCACGCAGTTTACAGGTGCTCTCTCAAACTTATTCTCTGCGCTCCTGTCAAGTCCCTCTCTCTCTCTCTCAACCTCTTAATTCTGTGCGCTCTCAACTCTTGACACACGCTCGCTCAACTTGCAACAGCGTTACAAGTGTGCCACAAAATCAACCAATCGGAAAATTAAAGGTCAATTGTGATTGGCTGTTGGTCTCCAATCAAATCGCTAGTAGAACCAAAGCCCGTCTGGTAGAACTATCTACTACAGCATCCCGGAAGCTTACTGAAAAAAAAAAATCGAAAAAAATAACTATGTAGTATTCTAAGATGCAAGGTAACGTACTCGGTTACTAACGTAACCTCGGTTCTCTCTTGAAGAGGGAACGAGTACTGCGTAATATCTTACGCTAGGGGAAAACCTCTTTTCCACGAGATATTGAAGCCAAAAAATTATCCTTAATTTTGAATTCATGTAAAACGTGTTGCGGCAGCATATAGACATAGGCAAAGGCGGCTTGCGTGCCTATTGGCTGTCCTGCTGCAACTGCAGCAGCCTATCGAGAGAGGCCCTTCGGTGACGGTCCAATGGGGGCACTTCCCGCCCACTGCATCACCTTCCCGCCAGAGTAGGCGTGGCCTAGCCCTATAAATATGGCTCAATGGGCTGATATCAATGGTTTTTCATCGCCGAAGCGAACCAGAGTGTGTTGCAAGCACGGCAAGATTCTAGAGAGAATCGAGGTTACGTTAGTAATCGAGTACGTTCTCTTACGAGAGGTTCTCTCGTACTGCGTAATATCTTACGCTAGGGGAACACAGTGTAAAACGCCGTGCATCCTGGGATCCAACACCAAAGTCCCAAGGGCAGGTGCCCGGGGCTCATATAATGTACAATCACCAAGGACTCACAGAGAGTCTGAGAAGAGAGGCTAACAGCGTCATTCCCAATAAGTTAGCATCCAAAGGAGCTAATCACTGTCACAGTGTTTCACACAGTCGGGGTGAAAATTCGGCCCGAACTGTGTAACAGTATGGGTCTTACTTTTGCCCATGGGGTAATTTTATCAGTCAGCGAGCGGTGCTCGAGCGATTGTAGTATTCTGCGCCGAAGCAGTGGGGAAGAAAATGCTTGATTTTATACCGACAGTAGTTTAGCCTGTGAGGCGGGAACCTCTAGGTTATAAAACCTTATAAATGTAAACGGGGAGGCCCAGCCTGCCGCCATATAGATATCTTGTAAGGCAATCCGCTAGACCAAGCCCACGATGAGGCCATGCCTCTCGTGGAGTGCGCTCTAACACCTAAAGGGCATTCAAGGCCTTTTGACCTGTATGCCAGTGCTATAGCGTCAACTACCCATCTGGATAGGCTCTGTTTCGACGCGGCTAGTCCCTGAGTACGTCCGCTGAACGAAACGAAAAGCTGCTCGGTCTGTCTGAAAACGGACGAGCGAGACACATAAGCTCTTAATGCCCTGACTGGGCAAAGGAAGCACTCGCCCTTCTCCTCGTTATGAACCGGCAGGGCGGACAGGGAAATGACCTGGGCCCTGAACGGCGTATTGAGGGATTTAGGCACGTATCCGTGTCTTGGTTTGAGTACGACTTTTGAGCCATTTGGCCCAAATTCCAGACACGTCGCGCTTACTGAGAGCGCTTGCAGATCCCCTATGCGCTTCACTGAAGCGAGCGCTATGAGAAACGCTGTCTTGAATGACAGGTGTTTCATGTTCGACAGGTGGATCGGCTCAAACGGGGCACCTTTCATGGCTTCCAGAACCGTGGAAAGCTCCCACATGGGGACTGAGCGGGGTCTGGGAGGATTTAGTCTCTTAGCTCCTTTTAAGAAGCGGATGACCAGATCATTTTTCCCCAGTGACTGGCCAGTCGCGGGTTTTGTAAACGCAGCTATGGCCGCCACATAAACTTTAAGCGTGGATGGGGTTCTACCCTTATCCAGCAGCCCCGTAAGGAAGGAGAGCACTTCCGTAATCCCGGAGTCTGGGGGTGAAAAGCCTCGGGCTCTGCACCAGGCACCAAACACTGACCATTTCGCGGCATAGAGTCGTCTATAGTGGACGGCGCCCTGGCCTGCGTGATTGTGTTTAATACTCCCTCTGGGAGGTTTGCGGGTACCCGTTGATGACCCATGCGTGCAGGGACCATAGCTCCGGGTGAGGATGCCAAATCGAGCCCTTGGCCTGAGAGAGGAGGTCCTTCCTCATTGGTATTGGCCATGGGGCAGCACTCGTCAGCTGCATCAGGACTGGGAACCAAGCTTGGTTCGTCCAGAGCGGAGCCACAAGGAGCACTGAGCATCCGTTTTCCTTGATTCGTTTCTAGCACCTGAGGCAGGAGCGAAATCGGAGGAAAAGCATAGAGCGGGCAGCGTGGCCAGGCGTGGGCCAGCGCATCCTTGCTCTTGGAGAAAAACTTCGGACAGTGAGCGTTCTCTTGAGACGCAAATAGGTCTATCTGCGCTCTGCCGAATGTCTCCCACAGCAGGAGGACCGTCTGCGGGGATGCAGAGACCATTCTCCTGCTGGAACATTGCTTCTGGACAGTCTGTCTGGCCCCAGATTCAGGTAACCAGGCACATGTGCTGCTCTCAGTGAGCGCAGATTGTGCTGAGTCCAGACCAGGAGGCGTTCCGTCAGCCTGAAGAGTTTTCGGGATCTGATGCCGCCCTGGTAATTTATGTAGGCTACCACCGACATATTGTCCGAGCGGACTAAGACGTGGTCTCCCTTTATTCGGGGACAAAAGAGCCTCAGCGCATTGTCGACTGCCATCATTTCCAGACAGTTTATGTGTAGGAGCTTCTCTCGTTCTGACCACAGGCCAAAGAACGGTCTGCCTTGGTGCAGCGCTCCCCATCCAGAGGTGGAGGCATTCATGGACACCACCTGCACACTCGAGGAAGTCCCCAGGCTTACCAGGTGTAAGCCTGGGGCGCGGTCTCCTTTATAGGAAGCACTGGTACCAGTTGGTCGCTCTCCAAGGTAACAGAGCTGAGACGCACTTCTGGTCGACCTTGAGGCGAAAATGACCGGGGGCCCAGGCTCGAGGAGGTACTCGTGCCTTTAGCCACCACTGCAGTGGGCGCATACGAAGCAGACCCAGCTGGAGCACTGATGATGCTGAGGCCATGAGACCCAGCATTTTCTGAAACCTTTTGAGCGGGACTATAGTGCCGCGGCGGAAGGATTTCGCGGCGCGCTGAATGTTCAGCCTGCGCTCTGGCGATAGTCGCGCTGTCATAGACAGCGAGTTCAGTTCTCTGCCCAGGAAGGTTATTTCCTGACTGGGAAGCAGCGAACTTTTCGCCCAATTGACTGTGAGACCCAGATTCTTGAGGTGCTCGAGTAATATGGCCCTGTGTTCTATGAGCTCTGAGTGAGATCGAGCTACAATCAGCCAATCGTCCAAGTAGTTCAAAACTCGCATGCCCCAAAGTTTCAGGGGTGCGAGAGCCGCGTCCATGCACTTTGTAAATGTACGGGGTGCAAGAGACAGGCCGAACGGTAGGACTGTGTATTGATATGCCTGGCCCTCGAAGGCGAATCTCAAGAAACGCCTGTGACGTAACGCTACTTGTATCTGGAAGTAAGCGTCCTTCAGATCTATTGAGATAAACCAGTCCCCTTGGCGAATTTGCGCGAGGATTTTCTTGGTTGTGAGAATTCTGAA